AAAAGGGAGTGTGTGGTGTAAATATTATGCAGAGAATTTGGAGTGTGGAAAATTAGGAGAAGGTGTGGAATTACTAAAAGTATTAGTCAGAGGGCTGAAGGGGGGTTTGGGTGAGGTGGTTTGGTCATTTAGAGAGAATGGATGTAGTATAGTGATTTGGAGAGCGTATAAATCTGTAGGGGAAGGAAGGACGGGTAGGGGTCATCCTCAAAAAGGTTGGAGGGAGGGGTAAAGGAGGTTTTGTGGGTTACGGGCTTTGACTTCCAGCAAGCGTGTGTGAGCTTGTTGGATAGGAGTGAATGGAAATGAATGGTTTTAGACCTGACTAGCTGTTGGAGTGTGAGCAGGGTAGTATTTAGTGAAGGGATTTAGGGAAACCGGTTAGCCGGACTTGAGTCCTGGAAATGGGAAGTACAATGCCTGCACTTTGGAGGAGGGGTTTGGGATATTGACAGTTTGGGTGATTTCTGAACTGTTGTATCTGAGCGCCTCTGAAAAGACAGTGATTATGTGTGAGTGAGGTGAAAGTGTTGAATGATGATGAAAGTATTTTCTTTTTGAGGATTGTCTTTCTTTTTGGTTCACCCTGCCTCGGTGGGTGACGGTTGGCTGACTTGTTGGAAAAAAAAAAAAATCCATTTGTATCATGCGTCTTGACCTATATATTTGAATGTGTGGAAAATGAGATGAGTGTTGTATGTAATCCTTTGACAGTTTCTTTCTTGATGTATCAAATCACAAACTTGATTTGTTTAGCTTAAGCTTATTGTGTGGGCTAAACATTGTCAAATGATTTTGCCATTGTGTTGGTACCTATATTTTCTTTCAGCAAACCAGCTGTATTCCACTGAAGCAGAGTGCTCCCCCCCCCCCCACCAAAAAAAAATTATATATATATATATATATATATAATATGTATATATATGTTCTTTCTTCTTTCTTTCAACGTACCAGCCGTATCCCACTGAGGTGGGGTGGCCCAAAAGAAAAAACTGAAGTTTCTCTTTTTAAATTTAGTAATATATACAGGAGAAGGGGTTACTAGCCCTTGCTCCGGCATTTTAGTCGCCTCTTACAAACATGCAAAGGTTACGGAGGAAGAATTCTGTTCCACTTCCCCATGGAGGTAAGGGAAATAAACAAGAACAAGAACTAGAAAGAAAAAAAAAAGAAAAAACCCCGAGGGGTGTATGTGTATATAAAATGCTTGTACATGTATGTGTAGTGTGACCTAAATGCAAGTAGAAGTAGCAAGACATACCTGAAATCTTGCATGTTTATGAGACAGACAAAAGACATATATATATATGTATATATATATAAAAATGTATATTATATATATATATAATATATGTATATTAATAAAGTATATATATATGTGTGTGTGTGTAAAGGTAGAAAGTTGAAAGTGAAAATAGAAAAGAATAAGGTGATGAGGGTGTCAAATGATTTAGATAAAGAAAAATTGGATATCAAATTGGGAGGAGGAGTATGGAAGAAGTGAATGTTTTCAGATACTTGGGAGTTGACGTGTCGGCGGATGGATTTATGAAGGATGAGGTTAATCATAGAATTGATGAGGAAAAAAGGTGAGTGGTGCGTTGAGGTATATTTTGGGTCAAAAAACGTTATCTATGGAGGCAAAGAAGGAATGTATGAAAGTATAGTATAAAAACACTCTTATATGGGTGTGAAACTTGGGTGGTTAAATGCAGCAGCGAGGAGACGGTTGGAGGCAGTGGAGGTGTCCTGTTTAAGGGCAATGTGTGGTGTAAAAAATTATGCAGAAAATTCGGAGTGGGAAATTAGGAGAAGGTGTGGAGTTAAAAAAGTATTAGTCAGAGGGCAGAAGAGGGGTTGTTGAGGTGGTTTGGTCATTTAGAGAGAATGGATCAAAGTAGAATGACATGGAAAGCATATAAATCTATGGGAAGGAAGCGGGTAGGGGGGTCCCCGAAAGGGTTTTTGAAAAAAAAAAAAAAATATATATAATAATTTTTAATATATATATATTTTTTTTTTTTTTTTTTTTTTTAAAAAAGTCGGCCGTCCCCACCGAGGGGGGGTGACCCAAAAAAAAAAAAAGAAATCCCAAAAAGAAAATATTTTTCATCATCATTCAACATTTCCCCACACCGCACATTATCACTGTTTTTTGCAGAGGGCCAGAATCAACATCTAAAAGCATCACATAAAAGATACACAACATATCCCCCAAACTGCCAATACCCCAAAAACCCCCCCTTTTAAAAAGGCAGGCTTGTACTTCCCTTTCCAGGACTCAATCCGATATGAAAAAAACCGGTTTCCTGATCCCTTCAAAAATATTCCCCTGCTCCACCCCAAACAGATTCAGGTCCCAAGTACCATTCGTCTCCATTCATCCTATCAACACGTCAGCACGCTTGCGGAAGCCCAACCCCCTTTCCCCACAAACCCCTTTACCCCCTCTCTCCAACCCTTTCAGGACGACCCCACCCCCCCTTTCCTTCCCCTATAGTTTTTAAAATTGTTTTTCCATGTCTTTCTACTTTGATCCATTTCCTAAATGCCCAACCCCCCAAAACCCCTCTTCTGCCCTCTGACTAATACTTTTTTTAACTCCACCCCTTTCCTAATTTCCCCACACTCCAAATTTTCTGCAAAAATTTTACCCACACTTTGCCCTTAAACAGGAACTCCATGCCTCCAACCGCTCCTGCTGCTGATTTACCCCCCAAGCTTCACACCCATTAAGGGTGTTGGTACTACTATTTTTATACACCCCCCTTCTTTGCCTATGATAACTTTTTTTGACTCCACATAACCTAAAACCCCCAATCTTTTTTTTTTTTTCCCCTCATCAATTCTATTTTAAAACTAAACCTTCAAAAATCCATCCGCCGACACTCAACTCCCAAGATCTGAAAACTTTCATTCCCCAACTCCTCCCCCCAATTTGATATCCAATTTTTCTTTTTTCAAAAATCTTTTGAACCCTACACCTTACTCTTTCTTTTTCATTTCAACTTTCCCCTTTTACACACTTTCCCCAAAACCCTCACCACTAACCTTTGCAATTTTTTTTTAGAACCCCCAAAAGCACAGATCATCAGAAAAAATAACTGTGTAAATTTCCCCATTTTAAATTTTGTTTCCCCATAATTTAATCCCCCCCTTCCCAAACACCTACTTTTATTTCCCTTAAAAACCCCCATTAAAATATATTAAAAAAACCATGGTGACATTAAAATCCCGTCAAAACCCATTTTTTAAAGGGGAAAAAGTCCCCTCTCTTCTACACACCCCCCCTAGCCTCACTTTTTCATAAAAACTTTTACACTTTTAAAAAAACTTCCCATTTTCCATATACTTGAAAACATTGCCACATTGCTCCTCTATCCATCTATCTTTTGCCTTTTTCTAAACCAAAAATGCAAAAAAAAATTTCCCCTCCCTTTTAACTAAATACTTTCACATATTGCTTCAATGTAAACCTTGTTTACACCCCACCCACTCTAAAAACCTCCTTCTCATCCCAATCCACTTCTGTTTTTAACCTCAAATTTTTTAAATTTTAAAACCCCTACGTACATTTTTTTTCCCGGGTAACTCAGAAAGTTTATTCCTTAATTTTTTACAGTCTTTTTTTGTTTCCCTTTCCCCTTTATAAAAGGGGGGACTTAAGCCTCCGCCAATCCCTAGGTACCTTCCCCTTTTTCATACATTTAGAACAAAAGTCCCAAAACCACTCCAACCTTACCCCCCCCTGTTTTTTAACATTTCTGTTGATCCCTCAGTACCAATGATAATATATATATATATAAAATTAATTTATATTATTAATATTAATAATTATATATATATATATAAATTTTTTTTATAAAATGTCTGCGGAAAAGGGGTTACTAGCTCCTTGCTCCCCCATGTTAGTTCCTCCAACCGCATGGCTTATGAGGAAGAATTTTTTTACTTTCCAAGGAATAAAGGAAATAAACAAGAACTAGTAAAAAATAGAAGGGAAAACCCGAGGGTGTGTAGGTGTATGCTTGTACTGCATGTGTAGTGTGACCTAAAAATAAATAGTAAACAAGATGACCGAAAATTTTTCATGTTTATGAAACAGAAAAAAAGCACCAGCAATCCTACCATCATGTAAAACATTACGGTTTCCGTTTTACACTCGCTTGGCAGACGGTAGTACATCCCTGGGTAGTTGCTGTCTACCAACCCACTACCCACCCATTACTAAGTAATAAGAATTTAGAAAAAGAAGATTTCAGATGTTAGGAAACATGTCTATTTTCGAAAGGGGAGCAAAAGGATGTTAGTTGAGGATCATTTTTAAAATTTTGAAGTCCCTTCTCTTTTGGCAAAAAAAAGCAAAAGAATTGTTGATTTTAATTTGGGTTTCTGCTTTGGGCCTCATTTCCTTGGGAAATATCAGTGTGTATAAAAATTGAATAAAAAGGAAAACCCGTCTTTGCACAGAAAAAACAAAGTTGCTCGAAGTTTTGGGTACAGAAGTAAAAAGATTTAAAATTTGATATAATACATCAGGCCAAGGACCACAATGTATACAGATCGTGTTTTGTGTAATCATTTATGTAAGCTTATCTGGAAGAATTAGACATTTGTTTGGAAATAAATTTAAATTGTTTTTTTCACCAAATAAACAAGATTTAAAATTGGAAAAAGCTTGGGGGGTAGATATCTGCAGAGAATATCCCCTTTCCATAATATCATTTTTTTGTACACACTTTTCTTGCCCAAAAAATGGTCGCCTAAATTTTAATTTTAATTATACTGTTTTACGAAATCAGTTTATAAGAGTCCCACCTTGGGGGGGAGCCCGTGTGTTAAGAAAAAAAAAAATGTAATGTTTGAAAAATAATTGACCTCCATATCCTTCAGGGACCATGCAGTTTTTCATATTGTCAAGGACTCTGCAAAACAAAGCCAGGCATCGGGAAACAGTGCTGGGTCAACCCCTTTCCTCTGATTAGCCACAGCCTCGTGAGAAGAAACGGAGAGCTGATATTGCAGCCCAAAGGAAAGCTCGCATTATGGCCAAGATGGCATCCATGCAACAAAATTTCATTAAAACAAATGAAACATTTTTCCAGGTTAGAGAGAAAATTATTGATAAAGTACTGTAAAATTATCTGTTATTGTTACTTGAAATACTACATGTATGCATGCATACAGACAAAGATTGGTTACAAAAAACATGCACAAAGAATTGTTTGGGTTCCATTTAAGAGCATACAGTACATAAAGAAGCTTGAAGTTCAGAAGTTTGGTATCAGAGTGTTACCAAGGCCAAGGGGCAAGAACTACAAGAAAAAGACTACAAACTAGACTTAGTGACAGTGTTTGGCATGAATGTCCAGGATAAGACATGTAATGTGGAAGCTGAATGCCTAGATGAGTAGACATACAGTTGGATCCCCAAATCCTTGGGGGATACGTTCTTAAACTTACTGCCAATACCCAAAACTGCAGATAGTAGCGAACCCTATATATGTCGTTTTTCATTTACATGCATACCTATGATAAAGTTTTAATTGATAAATTGCACACATTAAGTTGAGAATTAGTACTTTTCATTGATGGGAAGCACTTCATGACTTCTCATAGGCTTTGAAAAACTCAACATCACTACTTTTGCACTTTGAGGCCATTGTTAAGCACAATTTAAAAGTTATTTTTTGAGCCATGGTAAACCTTGGATAACTGAAACCGCAGAAAATGAATCCACAGATTCAGGGGGTTTACTCTACATTAGAAATTGCATTTACACTGTAAGGATAGTGAAAAAATGGTGAACCACACTAGGAAATGATATAGTAGAGGCTGAATCTATACGTGGATTCAACCTTCAAGGGTGGTTTCTGGATGCTCGTGAGGGATTTAAACCTGACCTCCGGGCTTTATGACCCCTTTGGGTTTAATACTCCCCCATGAATGTAATAATGTACATGGATTCTTACATTAGGTATAGTACAGTATAAGAGTTAAACTATATTAGTCAGTTAACAGTTCTACATACAGAAGCCAGAGCACACCCTTGAAAATTTGACTAGATGAATATTGGAGACAAAAAATTAATAACTGATTTGTTAAATTCAGGTTTAAGTTTGATATTGTGAAATCTCGGTTTGTATTGACAGGCATGAAGGGCATATGAATTAATCCTTACCCTGAATCTCAGTTGGGACTGGGTAGTGTATAAAAAGAAATTTGTGGCAACAGAAGGGGCGTATCAAACACTGGAGGAGTACAACTCCTCGTTTCACTACTTGGTGTTCTTGTGGCCCAGGGGTAAGGTTTGGGAATGTTACCATGCAGATCCCCTTTAAGGCTCCTATGACACCTTGTTTACATGAAGACAAATGAGCTAGTACTCACACATGCACAAACCTGTGATACTGCTTCTGTTTCATTCTTATGGCTCCTATTACCTCTGCCTTGCTTGCATATACAACTACATTCAGTTTGCCTGGCAAATTTATGACATTTATCTCCAGCAGCTTTTATACTGCTTAATTTTAAGATCATATTTCCCATGGATTATTTATTCATAGGAGATATTCATAACCTGTTCTTGCCTCTATATTTCTAATTTCTACAACATTCAATAATGTCAAGACTGTGTTCTTAGATTTTTGAAAGCCATGATTGTATTTTACTTTTTCTGAATGTACTGTATTTATGCAACATCCTTTAGTCTCTGTTGTCATAATGTATTTAGTACATAATAAAAATCTGACCTCATTTTCAAAATACTTTATTCTTCATTAACCCGTAAACGGTCCAAGCAGATCCACGTTCACATGTGTAGTGCTACAAAAGTAGATCTATGTTTTTTTTTACATATTTTCAAATATAACAAAAAAAAAAAAGTAGATCAAAGTTTTTTTACACATTTTCAAATGTAAAAAACAAAAAGATGATCTACTTTTTTTTACATACTTTCAAATGTTGAAAAAACGTATATATACGTTTGGACCGTTTACGGGTTAAGAATATAATTTATTTCTCTTTGTTGTTCAGTCCATCAATTTTTTTACTGCTAATGGTTCATTTCTCATTGCTATAACTCTTATATTAAACATCCCTTGTTCTATAGTAAAATGTTCAGTGTATCTAGTTATCTGGATCCTGTTCATGCATTTAACTGTATCCAATTTCCATAGTACTGGTATATTAATCTTTTACACCTTGCTTCACCATCTGACACACACACTGTGCTGGGTATATATAATTTTTTTTTTATGCTTTGAACAAGAAACTGTAGTTTATTTATATTTATAGTAGTTCTCGCATCCATTACATCCCCAGTCCCCCAACAAGTAGTTAATATTGATTTAATTAAAGTTTTTTCTTTTTTAAAGGAAACTCCTTCAACAGAACAGACATTAGACATTCTAGAATCCACGCCCATGGAAATTAGCGAACAGTTGCCTGAGGATATGATTGCTATTGGACCACGCCAGACATTAAGAGCCCCTCAGGAAATAACGTAAGTGAAGGCAGTACAGCATTTGTCTTGCAGAAATTGGGTATACCTGTACCGTACTTTATGTAAATGGTAGAAATGAACTTCATTATTTATTAAATTTGTATAAAGCATTATTACTTTAAATCTGCAACAGGTACACATGCATCCTTTGCCACCAAGAAGATGTTGTTTGTGGAGGAGATGGAAGTACAGGAAGGCCAATGGTTCTTGGTGCTCTTATTCAGAGATCTACAGTGCTATCTCGCAATAGAACCCGGCATTTGGACCAGCCAGAAAATCATGACCCTTTGCTGTTGCCAGCAGATTTACATTGGGGTGCACACACTTCTTCTTGTGGACATGCTATGCATGCACAATGTTGGCAGAAGTATTTTGACGATGTACTTACCAAAGAGAGGCGGAGACCCTATCGGTGAGTACCTAATTTATTTTGCTGTACTGTATCCATTTGTTCAATTGATTGATATTTATAAGTAATGACATATATGATATACAGTGGACCCCCGCCTTACGATATTAATCCATTCCTGAGAGCTCATCGTAAGCCGAAATTATCGTTAGCCGAATTAATTTTCCCCATAAGAAATAATGGAAATCAAATTAATCCGTTCGTGACACCACAAAGTATGAAAAAAAAATTTTTACCACATGAAATATTAATTTTAATACACACAAACTGAAGAAGCCAGGCACAATTACTGCTCTACTAAGAATAGAATACATGACACTTACCTTTGTTGAAGATCTGGTGATGATTGATGGGATGGGAGGAGGGGAGAGTGTGGAAATTATTGTTTAGAAGGGGAATCCCCTTCCATTAGGACTTGAGGTAGCAAGTCCTTTTCCAGGGTTACTTCCCTTCTTCTTTTAATGCCACTAGGACCAGCTTGAGAGTCACTGGACTTCTGTCACACAACAAATCTGTCCATAGAGCTCTGTACCTCCCTTTCCTTTAAGACTTTCCTAAAATGGGCCATAACATTGTCGTTGTACAGGTTTCCAACACGGCTTGCAGTAGCTGTGTCAGGGTGATTTTCATCCGTAAAGGTTTGCAGTTCAACCCACTTTGCACACATTTCCTTAATCTCTCTTTTCAATTCCATACTAATTCTCGCCCTTTTTACCACAGGGATGGCACTAGAAGCTTTCTTGTGGTCCATAGTGACTTATTTTGCAGTTACAAGCACTAAAAACACTGGGATAATGTGAAATGTACCGAATGTATGCGTAGATGCGACTGCACTGGCTGGCTTGTAAACACTGGCGCTGAGGCTACACGTGGGACGTGTCCCGGACGAATCGCGCAAGGCGAGTTTTTTATCGTGAGGGAGGCAACATTTTTGCATTCAAATGCTTCGTATGGTGGATTTAACATAACGCAATGCATTCGTAAGGCAGGGGTCCACTGTAATTCCAGTATTTCGTCTTCATCTGATATCATACATCTGATAAGTTTACAGATGTTAACTAGTGGAGTTATGCAAGACAGAAGTTTATAGAAGTTAGTGTTCAGTGAATTCATTCAAATATCATTATTTCTACAAGTACATACATGCCAGCTAGGTCTGTATATCTTATATGTCAGTGACATACTACTATATAGAAAGCTGCTTGTTATGCAGAGCATTTCGGGCAAATTAGATCAGTTTTGTCCTAGGATGCGACCTGCACCAGTCGACTAACACGTAGGTACCCATTTTACTGGTGGGTGAACAAGGACAACAAGTATAAGGAAAAACACCCAAAGTTTCCACCTTTGTTGGGAATCTTAGCACAGACCCTCAGCGTGTGAAGCAAGAGCTTTACATGCAATATTGCTTCTCTGACTGCTCATACATATTATTAATTTACATGTAGTATGCTTACTGTTATGTATAGGAATGCTATAGATTAATAATAAGTACTAGTGTAATGTCACCATGGTTGTTTAATATATTTATAGATGGGGTTGTTAAGGAAGTAAATGCTAGGGTGTTTGGGAGAGGGGTGGGATTAAATTATGGGGAATCAAATTCAAAATGGGAATTGACACAGTTACTTTTTGCTGATGATACTGTGCTTATGGGAGATTCTAAAGAAAAATTGCAAAGGTTAGTGGATGAGTTTGGGAATGTGTGTAAAGGTAGAAAGTTGAAAGTGAACATAGAAAAGAGTAAGGTGATGAGGGTGTCAAAAAGATTTAGATAAAGAAAAATTGGATATCAAATTGGGGAGGAGGAGTATGGAAGAAGTGAATGTTTTCAGATACTTTGGGGTTTTACGTGTCGGCGGATGGATTTATGAAGGATGAGGTTAATCATAGAATTTATGAGGGAAAAAAGGTGAGTGGTGCGTTGAGGTATATGTGGAGTCAAAAAACGTTATCTATGGAGGCAAAGAAGGGAATGTATGAAAGTATAGTAGTACCAACACTCTTATATGGGTTTTGAAGCTTGGGTGGTAAATGCAGCAGCGAGGGGGACGGTTGGAGGCAGTGGAGATGTCCTGTTTAAGGGCAATGGTGGGTGAAAATTTATTATGCAGAAAATTCGGAGTGTGGAAATTAGGAAAGGTGTGGAGTTAATAAAAGTTTTAAGTCAGAGGGCAAAGAGGGGTTGTGAGGTGGTTTGGTCATTTAGAGAGAATGGATCAAAGTAAATGACATGGAAAGCATATAAATCTATAGGGGAAGGAGGGGGGGGTGGGGGGTCGCCTCGAAAGGGTTGGAGAGGGGGGGGGTAAAGGAGGTTTTGTGGGTAAGGGGCTTGGATTTTCCAGCAAGCGTGCGTGAGCGTTTTTAGATAGGAGTAAATGGAGACGAATGGTACTTGGGACCTGACGATCTTTTGGAGTGTGAGCAGGGTAATATTTAGTGAAGGGATTCGGGGAAAACCCGGGTTTTATTTCATATATTGGGGACTTGAGTCCTGGAAATGGGAAGTACAATGCCTCACTTTAAAGGAGGGGTTTTGGGATATTGGCAGTTTGGAGGGATATGTTGTGTATCTTTATATGTGTATGCTTCTAGACTGTTGTATTCTGAGCACCTCTGCAAAAACAGTGATAATGTGCGAGTGTGGTGAAAGTGTTGAATGATGATGAAAGTATTTTCTTTTTGGGGATTTTCTTTCTTTTTTTGGGTCACCCTGCCTCGGTGGGAGACGGCTGACTTGTTTGAAAAAAAAAAAAAAAAAAAAAAACTAGTGTAATGAGACTGTATTGATCAACCTCATCTCTTTCAGGAAAGGTGGGATCAAAGGTACAATTTTGTATATATAGTTAAAAAATGCAAAAGGAGAAGTGTAAAAGGAGAGCGGATGATAGTGGGAGAGGTACTGTCAAGAAATTTTAATGAAAATAAGAAAAAATTTTGGAGTGAGTTAAACAAGTTAAGAAAGCCTAGAGAACAAATGGATTTGTCAGTTAAAAACAGAGTAGGGGAGTTAGTAGATGGGGAGAGGAAGGTATTAGGTAGATGGCGAGAATATTTTGAGGAACTTTTAAATGTCGACGAAGAAAGGGAGGCGGTAATTTCATGCACTGGCCTGGGAGGTATACCATCTTTTAGGAGTGAAGAAGAGCAGGATGTGAGTGTGTGGGAGGAGCGCGAGGCATTACGTGGAATGAAAGGGGATAAAGCAGTTGGAACTGACGGGATCATGACAGAAATGTTAAAAGCATGGGGGGACATACTGTTGGAATGGTTGGTATTTTTGTTTAATAAATGTATGAAACCTCCTCTAGGTAGTAGGTTGGTAGACAGCAACCGCCCAGGGAGGTACTACCGTCCTGCCAAGTGAGTTTAAAACTGAAGCCTGTAATTGTTTTACACGATGGTAGGATTGCTGGTGTCTTTTTTTTGTCTCATACACATGCAAGATTTCAGGTATGTCTTGCTACTTCTACTTACACTTAGGTCACACTACACATACATGTACAAGCATATACATACACACCCCTTTGGGTTTTCTTCTATTTTCTTTCTAGTTCTTGTTCTTGTTTATTTCCTCTTGCCTCCATGGGGAAGTGGAACAGAATTCTTCCTCCGTAAGCCATGCGTGTTGTAAGAGGCGACTAAAGTGCCGGGAGCAAGGGGCTAGTAACCCCTTCTCCTGTATATATTACTAAATGTAAAAGGAGAAACTTTTGTTTTTCCTTTTGGGCCACCCCGCCTCGGTGGGATACGGCCGGTGTGTTGAAAGAAAGAAGAAAATGAAACCTCCATGGGGAGATGGAACAGAATTCTTCCTCTGTAAGCCATGCGTGTTGTAAGAGGCGACTAAAATGCCAGGAGCAAGGGTCTAGTAACCCCTTCTCCTGTATATATTACTAAATATAAGACGGTTGGAGGCAGTGGAGATGTCCTGTTTAAGGGCAATGTGTGGTGTAAATATTATGCAGAAAATTCGGAGTGTGGAAATTAGGAGAAGGTGTGGAGTTAATAAAAGCATTAGTCAGAGGGCAGAAGAGGGGTTGTTGAGGTGGTTTGGTCATTTAGAGAGAATGGATCAAAGTAGAATGACATGGAAAGCATATAAATCTATAGGGGAAGGAAAGAGGGGTAGGGGTCGTCCTCAAAAGGGTTGGGAAGAGGGGGGAAAGGAGGTTTTGTGGGCGAGGGGCTTGGACTTCCAGCAAGCGTGCATGAGCGTGTTAGATAGGAGTGAATGGAGACGAATGATACTTGGGACCTGACGATCTGTTGGAGTGTGAGCAGGGTAATATTTAGTGAAGGGATTCAGGGAAACCGGTTATTTTCATATAGTCGGACTTGAGTCCTGGAAATGGGAAGTACAATGCCTGCACTTTAAAGGAGGGGTTTGGGATATTGGCAGTTTGATGGGATATGTTGTGTATCTTTATACGTATATGCTTCTAAACTGTTGTATTCTGAGCACCTCTGCAAAAGCAGTGATAATGTGTGAGTGTGTTGAAAGTGTTGAATGATGATGAAAGTATTTTCTTTTTGGGGATTTTCTTTCTTTTTTGGGTCACCCTGCCTCGGTGGGAGACGACCGACTTGTTGAAAAAAAAAAAATAAAAGGAGAAGCTTTTGTTTTTCCTTTTGGGTCATCCCGCCTCGGTGGGATACGGCCGGTGTGTTGAAGGAAAGAAGAAATGTATGAAAGAGGGGAAGGTACCTAGGGATTGGCAGAGAGCGTGTATAGTCCCTTTATATAAAGGGAAGGGGGACAAAAAGTGATTGTAAAAATTATAGAGGAATAAGTTTACTGAGTATACCAGGAAAAGTGTACGGTAGGGTTATTATTGAAAGAATTAGAGGTAAGACAGAATGTAGAATTGTGGATGAGCAAGGAGGTTTTAGAGTGGGTAGGGGATGTGTAGATCAAGTGTTTACATTGAAGCATATATGTAAGCAGTATTTAGATAAAGGTAGGGAAGTTTTTATTGCATTTATGGATTTAGAAAAGGCATGTGATAGTGGATAGGGAAGCAATGTGGCAGATGTTGCAAGTATATGGAATAGGCGGTAAGTTACTAAATGCTGTAAAGAGTTTTTATGAGGATAGTGAGGCTCAGGTTAGGGTGTGTAGAAGAGAGGGAGACTATTTCCAAGTAAAAGTAGGTCTTAGACAGGGATGTGTAATGTCACCATGGTTGTTTAATATATTTATAGATGGGGTTGTAAAAGAAGTAAATGCTAGGGTGTTCGGGAGAGGGGTGGGATTAAATTATGGGGAATTAAATACAAAATGGGAAGTGTCACAGTTACTCTTTGCTGATGATACTGTGCTTATGGGAGATTCCAAAGAAAAATAACAAAGGTTAGTGGATGAATTTGGGAGTGTGTAAAGGTAGAAAGTTGAAAGTGAACATAGAAAAGAGAAAGGTGATGAGAGTATCAAATGATTTAGATAAAGAAAAATTGGATATCAAATTGGGGAGGAGAAGTATGGAAGAAGTGAATGTTTTCAGATATTTGGGAGTTGACGTGTCAACAGATGGATTTATGAAGGATGAGGTTAATCATAGAATTGATGAAGGAAAAAATATGAGTGGTACACTGAGGTATATGTGGAGGCAAAAAATGTTATCTATGGAGGCAAAGAAGGGAATGTATGAAAGTATAGTAGTACCAACACTCTTATATGGGTGTGAAGCTTGGGTTGTAAATGCTGCAGTGAGGAGGTGGTTGGAGGCAGTGGAGATGTCCTGTCAAAGGGCAGTGTGTGGTGTAAATATTATGCAGAAAATTCGGAGTGTGGAAATTAGGAGAAGGTGTGGAGTTAATAAGAGTATTAGTCAGAGGGCTGAAGAGGGTTTGTTGAGGTGGTTTGGTCATTTAGAGAGAATGGATCAAAGTAGAATGACATGGAGAGCGTATAAATCTGTAGGGGAAGGAAGGCGGGGTAGGGGCCATCCTCGAAAAAGTTGGAGGGGGGGGGGGGTAAAGGAGGTGTTGTGGACGAGGGGTTTGGACTTCCAGCAAGCGTGCGTGAGTGTGTTAGATAGGAGTGAATGGAGACAAATGGTACTTGGGACCTGATGCACTGTTGAAGTGTGAGCAGGGTAATATTTAGTGAAGGGATTCAGGGAAACCGGTTATTTTATATAACCAGACTCGAGTCCTGGAAATGGGAAGGTCAATGCCTGCACTCTAAAGGAGGGGTTTGAGATATTGGCAGTTTGGAGGGATATATTGTGTATTTTTATATGTACATGTATATACTTCTGAACTGTTGTATTCTGGGCACCTCTGCAAAAACAGTGATTATGTGCGAGTGAGGTTAAAGTGTTGAAAGATGAAAGTATTTTCTTTTGGGGATTTTCTTTCTTTTTTTAGGGTCACCCTGCCTTGGTGGGAGATGGCCGACTTGTTAAAAAAAAAAAAAATTAAAAAATGGGTAATGTGATATCCTAAAATGATAAGTAATGAACACAAAAAAAATGCAAATTTGCTTGTTAAACTTTTTTTTTAACTTTCACTCAAAGCCATTTGATGCCTCGGACTTACAACAGGCTCTGACCAGTATTCATGCCTAAATAATTTATTTATTTATTTAGTTATTTATTTATTATTATTTGGACATGATACATAGCTGTATGAAAGAAATACAGTGGTTGAGTGTACATGCCAAAAGCCCCTTGTATGCAGAGCATTGTGGGCAGGCTATTTCAAATAAGAGGCTTTAAAGTTGTACAGATTTGTAGCACATTTGATGAGTTACTTACAAAAAAGCAGTTTGATAGGGTCACAGGTTTTACATTTATGAGATGCAGTTAATCAGTATTTATTTAGTTGTGGGTGAGTAAGTGGTTTTTAAGAAGTCTTGAATTGATAAACAGACAGTGTTTCTTTTATATTCACGGGCCTACAGTTGTGTATGGATCGGTATAGTAGAGCTAAATACACCAGAAATGTTATAAATGATGCCAAGGTGACATTAAAACAATATTGAAGATGGTTGACACAAACTCACTACCATTATAGTATACTCCTCACTTTGTGACGAATTCGCTTAGCAATGTAGCTTCAGGAACGGAACTCCGTTGTTAAGTGAGGAGAGGCTGTATATCTAATCTCACTATAGTTGGATTACTCTTATATAGGGGTGTGCCAGTGTTGGAATCTGAAAAATTGCCAGTTCTGGCTGATGATTTTAAAATACAGCCTCTCCTCACTTCGCTACATACTTGTTTACCGTTGACTCGGACTTGCGATGGGCTCTCTGACCAGTTTGCATACCTAAATAATGTATATTAGAGCTGATTTCCTCTATTCTGTTTATTGTAGATGAATGGTTCAGAGAACCGACAAGTTGGTAAATTAGGCACATGGGCAACACTTGGGTATCTTCAATGAGGAAACATTTTGCCACACAGTGGCTTCATCAGTCCATACAAAGAAGAATGGTGAAGAACGGGAGTAGTTTGAGGTAATCAGTCCCTCAGCCTTGAGTCGATGTAGTCAGTCCATCAATCTTGAAAAGAATACAGCACATGTGTGATGAAGTGGCTTATATACTGTAGGCAGGAGAGGTGCAGCAGCCTACAGTATATAAGCCACTTCATCGCACATATGCTGTATTCTTTTCAAGATTGATGGACTGACTACATCGACTCAAGGCTGAGGAACTGATTACCTCAAGCTCCTCCTGTTCTTCGCCATTCTTCTTTGTATGGACGGATGAAGCCACTGTGTGGCAAAACATTACTTCATGAAAGGTACCCAAATGTTGCATATGTCTAATCTACCATTCTATTTATTACAATATACAGTACACTGCTATATAAACATTTAAAAACATACCAGAAATGTTATAAATGGTGTGAAGGTAACATTAAAGCAATATCAAAGATGGTTGACACAAACCCAGTACCATTATACGTAGTATGCTCCTTTTTTAGTGATGAATTCGTTTACCGACGGTGTCTTAGGAACAGAACTCCGTCATTAAGTGAGGAGAGGCTGTATTAATATTATAAGTATGCTTAAAATAGGTAAAATTGACACTTTAATTCATGATTTGAGGACTATGCACACACTCACTCACAAGGTGTATTAATGATACTGTGGTTCCCCTCCACTCGTTCATCTGTCATGAAAAAATAAAGAAACAATGGAAGTCGAATATGTTAGTTTCATGACAGGTATGTGGAAGAATTTATCAAATAAAGCCTTAATAAATTTAGTTGGATAATTGCTTCAACATAGGCTTTGTTCAGGAAACTCATCCTTAGAGTAGTGCCATTTCCTGGATCCAACACAGTAGTGCACATCACTGAGTATTCAAGAACCAGTGTGTGAATTCAACATACAAGCTTTCAAAATTCATTTGATAGGGCAGGATAATGGTGCCAATGTTGTCCAAGGAATTAAAGGAACAGGATGCAACAGTTTGAGGCTTCCTCAGTAAAGCTTTTGAGGCTGTTGATCACGTTAAAGAATTCGATATTGTTTACAGTGGAACCACGGTTTTCATATGCCCTAGTCTGTATGTAAAACTATAGATATTCTATATAAAATCTATTTTTTTTTTTAATATTTTCGGATGTCTGGAATGGATTAATTGGATTTACATTGTTTCTTATGGGAAATATTAACAAAAAATACATTTTATAGAGAATAACTATAGTTTTACATACAGACTAGGGCATACGAAAATCGAGGTTCCACTGTACTTGGATTTTAGTAAGGCTTTTGATAGAGTACCACACCAGAGTGTGATAAAGAAAGTGGCAGCTCATGGCATTAGGGAAAAAAGGGCTGTCATGGATAGAGTCTTGGCTCGCCAATAGGAAACAGACCGTGCATAAATGGGGTAAAATTTGAGTGGGGATCTGAAACTAGTGGTGTTCCTCAGGGATCAGTTTTAAGCTCATTATTGTTTATAATATATATCAATGACCTTGATGAGGCAATTGCTAGCTATATGAGCAGATTCGTTGATGACACTAAGATAGGTAGGGTAATTGATTCAAACGTGATGTCACAGAACTTTGGAAGGATTTAGACAAACTGAATTCATGGTCAGAAGAGTGGCAGATGCAGTTCATTGTAGATAAATGTAAAGTTCTGAAGCTTGGGAATGTTCATAACCCTAGCACTTATAAGCTAAATAATACAGAACTTAGCCATCCAATACCTGTATGGTATTGGAAAGGGCATCTTTTCTTTTTCTTTATTGAGGGAAAGTAAAGAACTTGGTAAGTTTTGTTTTGTACTTGTAGATTTTCTATGTAGCCACAGACATGTTATAGGACAGTATTTTGCATACATTTATAAAGCATTTACAAAAATATATTTTGTATAATAAAACTGATTATGTTTAACTTTACTTCTATCACAGTTGCAGTAGTCTACTAAGAAAAAATAACAAACACTCCATACACAAAAAAGTTAATACATCAAAGTATATAACCGGAATGTTAATAATATAATACAAATCTGCATTTGGTGGGTTAAATCTTTTGATGATTGAGAGGGATGTGCTACAGCTTAGCATTGTCACATATTGCAAAAGAAATAATTGTTCTAATTGTCAAGCTCAATTGACTCTCTCCTTGGTAGTTCACATTGCCCCTCTAAAATAGGATTTATTGGTTCTTGCAGCAGAATGTTTAGATTACGGTATTTAATTTCATCATCAAGGCACAGCATGTAAATCGAAACCATTTAGGGCAATTTTCGTTGCTACAATTACCAAATGTCACGGGGAAATTTTCGTTGCTACACTTACCAAATATCACAGTTTGCTTTAATGTTATTCATTTTGGCATCTTTATGGCAAGCAAAGGCCCTTTGGAAATCAGGAGTGTTGGAAAGTGTAGCTTTTACTCTAACAGAATGTGGTGGGTAATGGGCTACACCTTTGTGTGGGATGCCAGTGGTTGATGCAGCACAGAACAGTTGAGCATAATGTAGGAAGAAGAATTGGTCTGGCGAAAGATGTAGCTCTGTCAAGAAGTCACTAATTTGGTCTGGGAATTTTGTTTGAGAGAGTTGATTTTTTATTGTTCTGTAAGAATTACCAATACTGCCATCATCAGCCATCACTTCAGCGATGGTCAAAAGACCCTGAATGGGGTAATATGTCTCTGTGTATTGGTTAATACGGCATAACACTTTCTGAACAAAGTCTTCCACAGTTTGCTCATCCCACATGGTAGCATTAGCTCTTCCGTATTGATCTCTTGTGCGACCCACAAAATCCACAGCATGTCCTAGTTCATGACTTATGAATGCTCCCATTGTTGCATATGAAAGAGGTTCTGGCAGATCAGAATTGTAGAGAGGGTACATAAATCCTCCTAATGGTATAAGTAAAGTATTTCTACGATACACATAGAAGCTGATCAAAGACATGGGTGACAGAACTTCCCACTCACTATAAGTACCTGGCTCTCTTAAAAACTTCATATGACGATTTTTATTAAATTTCAGCAGGTTTATCTGATTCTGCAGTAAATTTTTGTTACTGAAATTTAAGTTTTCAAACAGTTTTTGGAGTTCAAATATATTATCAAGGACTGGTGGGTAGCCTACCAATATGTTAACATTGCTTAATTTCTCAGTTAATACATTTTTAGCACTGGGCTTCAACCATTCAAATGAATCTATATATCTTACATACTCTTCTCTAATGGATTCTGCCATTTTTCTCACTCTTCTAGTCAAATCATGGATGGTTGGTCCTTTTTGGAGTTGCTCCTTGACAATTTCCATTAGAAGATAAGCAATAGGAAGTGAGAGTCTCTCTTCCAGTTCTTTGATGCAGGGCCGAAAGCGAAAATTTGGCAAATTAGTTGTATTTTCTCCAGATATGTGATCAAATAATGGTAATAATGCATTCCTTGCTTGCTTATGGAGGAACTGACTATAATATTGCACTACCTGCCAGCGGAGGTATACATATAATCTGTCTGACCCTTTACTTGAAATTTCTGCCATTATTTCAGTCGAGATCACTGCTAAATAATCCTGAATTAAAGATAGTATGCGTTCATCTGTATTTATAAATGCTCCCACTCTATTAAAGCCTTTGTTGAAATATATGTGCCAGTCTAAAAAGGGTGCTATGGCATTCAACTCTTCAATATTTGTATTATTTACCAACAGAGAACCACCTACTGGTTGGAAAATTTGTAGAAACTCAAGGATGATAGCTACCTCATTCACAACACTGTTATTGTCAAATGTACCAACCATTTTCAGAATATCTGAAGCATATTGTTCATATACTGTAATAAGGTCATCATTTCCTTTCACAACAGTTCCTTGTGGCACTAAATCTACATTTGGTGCTATTAATTCTATAGCCATGGAATTTGCAATAGTATTGTCCATCTCAACCTTCCACCCAAAAAAGGCATGGAGGGATAGATCGTGGTGAACATACTCTAACATACTTTGGAATGCTTGCAAAGGCTGCAACTGTGACTTGAGAAGTTGATATTCTTGATCCATCTTGTGAAGGACCTCTTGGAGAGGGCTAACACCCAGCATGGCTAAATTGGTTTCATCTTCACATGCTGCATAGTAGTCTGTTGCCAGTTTTCGCATGTAAGAATCGGCATTATTTAAATGTGAATTGTTACGTTCATCCAAAGGTACTAGAACACCGTTGTGTTTTGCATTGTTATCCGTTTCATTTATAAACATCGCAAGTTCATCTTCCATCATATCCCAAATTTTGATAGTCATAGCTTCGAAGTTACTCCACCCTGATACTCCTGTTGGTGGAGGATATAGGTTTTTCCAATTTCCACATGCATATTCATAGAAGTCGTCACAGGGAGAAACACTAAAGTTCATGGCTCCTCGAATATTATCAACTACATAACTGAAAAAGTCTTCAAGATCTGGCGAAAGTTCTGAAGGCTTTTTGAATGACCCTTTCGGGTCATAATCCGGGAAGCCAAAGAAGTCAATAAGATTTTCTTCATTCTCTGGTTCATCAGCTGAAAATGCGCTGTTTGTTAAAATATTGGTATGTTGACTTGTGTTTGAATAGATAGACGTGGGTAAAGAAGGGGTAGTGAGAAGTGGGAAGAGCACAATGATTAGAATGAGTGCAGAGACGACCACGCCCGCAGCGCTCACGCCCACCATCCATCTCTCTGCATACTTCTTCCCATGTTTTTGTGAACTCCGCCCTGCTTCGCAGCCGAGGGCGCCTACGCTGAAGGTGGTTGATCCAGGTCTTCGCTCGCGTGTGAATGATGATTTGACTTTGGTGGGTATAAAGTTGGCCAACCCTCCAAGAGTCCTTCTTGAGCTTTCCGTGTATGTACCAGGTTTCATGGCGCACTCTTCGTTTGTTGTTGGCCTCGTGGGCTCACCCAGGTGTTCAGCGCTGTCAGCGCCCATCGGTGATGGTCCGGATGCTAAAGTTTCCATTGTACTGGATCCGAGTTTTTTGTCCACCACCAGTGTGCATTCAAGTGACCCAAAAACAAGTGACACAATTTTGTCCCAAGTACGTCTTGTAACAAACGAGTATCTGCATTTTAAGTTGATGCAGCAACTAGTTAGAAATAGTACACGGCAAATCTTGAAATTATGAAATTGTCATGGGCTGCAAGACATTTACAAGTACTATGCGTCGTTTGCTTTATTAGCACTGTCTGAAAGTTTATTCTTGAATCCAGTGGTGCTAGTTTTGAATCGTACGTAACAAGTTCTGCAGTTAATGTTTCACTTATAATTTAGGGATTTAATCCAATTGTAGGGAATACTTCAACATGTGGATGAAGGCTGGCAGCGTAGGGGTAGGACACGTGTGGCGTCAGTCACAGCAGAGGAGTGACTGAGGTAGTTTTCCCGTCTTCTCTGGCAGAGTTCTCTTACCTTCCTCCCCCACCTCCTCCGCTCCCAGTTGCCAAATTACGCATTCCTACGAACCTTAACCTAACCTAACCTACGCACAGGGTATATACACGTAGAAATATCCATGGATGCATATTGAAAATAGTGACACACGAGGCTGTCTTCAAGAAGGAGCTGGACAGACAGCTTAAGTCAGTACTTGATCAACCTGGCTATGGATCCTACGTCGGTTTGCTTGTGGCCGGCAGTAACAGCCTGGTTGATCAGGCTCTGATCCACCTCGAGACCTGGTCATGGACTGGGGCGTTGACTCTCGGAATACACTCGAGGTATACACAGTAGTTAGATACACGGTATATACATGAGAAGTGTGTGGGGTATATACATGAAAAGCATATACCTGAAAAGTGTGTATGTATTTATACGGAAAGTAAAAAAAAAAAATGCATTGCCATGGCTAGAACAATTCACATATCACCCACGCTTTAGAGAGGAAACTGAAGACTACTTTTCTCTCTGTCCTGGACCATTAGTTGGGTTAGGCTAAAATAAATTGCTCTTGATATAATAAGGTTAGGTAAGTTTTCTAAGATTCTTTTGGTGCAAAATTAAAAAAAATTACATTAACATTAATGAAAAAATATATATCTTTAAACGTATAAGAGAAAATTTCAGAAAGGACTTCAGTTTAAATGAGCTCTTGCTAATTGACCAGTTTTACATATTCGGCACGAGAGAGAGAGAGAGAGAGAGACAGACACACACACACACACACACACACACACACACACACACACACACACACACAAACACACACACACACACACCACACACACACCCACACACACACACACACACACACACACACACATACATACATACATTACTGGAAGTAACTACTCGCTAGTCTATGCACGAAAAGTGTCTGTGTTCACTGAGGGTTCACTGAAAATACGTATACTTCAATTCCTAATTTATGATTTTTTTTATAGTGTCCAGGCGAGTTGCCGCTTCAATGTGCAGTGGATAAGATTTAAGCCTAACTAACTTGGCTACACAAAATACGAAAAAGATCCGGGTGTAAATTGGTAAAACAAAATTAAATGCAGTTTGTACATTTATTCGTATATGAAAGGGAGGGGGATAAGTGCGCATGTGCATAATAATTTAGCTAGGAAAATAAAACTGGCATGTAGCCTCAACAAGTAATCGCTGTGATAATTGTCACATACTTTTATAATCAGTAGTCACGGATGTATTATTTAGCGAAGATGATACACTTGTGATTGTTTTGCTGCGGTTGCTAGCTATTCTTTTGTCTCAAGATGACTATCTTGATCGCTGCGACTCTTGCTTAGATATACTCTCCCCATGATCAATTGATGGATTGAATGATTTCTGGTATTGTTGCAAAGTTTAACATTTTGTTTTACGATCCGGACTTCAGTGTGGTGCATTATTGTCTTGACGCCGAAGATGGCTCTTAATGTTTTACATGTTTGGGTGAGCGTAGGGGAAACTGGCTACTGCCCAGTTTACTGTAGCCTTCTGACTCGAGTACACAGGATGTACACTTGACCAAACACCAGGAATCCCTTTCTCCCAACATTTACATTAACCTCCAGCCTGCACTAAAAATCGCATTCATTCAGTATTAAGAAGCTCGTATGTTAAAATGGCAGAAATTAAAATAACCTTGAGATATATGAATGAAGACCAAAAAAAAAACTATTATTTATACATTCTGAAACAAATTTGCCGACATTTACTTGTTACTGGTCTGGATCCTATCATACTCCTGAAACTGTGTAGGAAGTTTGCCTGTTAAAATCTTTAAGTGTTTCCTTGTATATTCGACCTAACCTTGTATATTCGACGTAACCTCTGTGCTTGTCGCATAGAATATAGTAGTCGCAGACTGCAAGTGTATCTAATTTTGTTTAAAATGATTTAGGTGCAATCTGTAGGTTAAAATCTTTATAATCTAATCGTCCACTTTAAACGTAGACTGATTTCTTACTTCTGACATCACTCGAGCTTGACTTTCCTCCTTAGCACATTCACCCTTGCTTGCAGCACTCCCTTGTTAGTCATATGATATTGATTCATTTTTGTGTATATAATAATACGCCGCCCAAACGTTTGAAATGTATGTGTGCTTGTCTTGCGAGCGTACCCACATTGAAGGAGACGTAGAGAATAAAAAGGCACAAATCCGTGACTGGAATAATACGTAACCTGCACAGAATGAAACTTATGACGACTTTTCGGTCCGACATGGACTATTAACTAATGACTAGTTAATGGCCCAAGTCGGACCGAAACGTAGTCGTAAGTTCCATTCTTCAACGTGCGAGTTATTTGTGTAGGGAGAAGTAGGAATGACAGTTGTGGTTACCAGAGCGTAGCAACTGGCGAAGTATAGTTCATCCTAGTCATCGTACATAAAAGTTTGAGTTCCAACTAACTAGGCCATGTCATTATATATATATCGTATGTGTTTACCGTTTTTCCTTTCTCACTTAATGCAAGAACTTTTATGAGTGGCATCTGTAGAAGACAGCCTTTAAACTGATATAAACCAAGTCTTTCAGCGAGCTACTGACAACAAAATGATGTTCACCTAGGACGAATTACAATTACTACTTTAGAGTAAGTCTGCGGAAATAAAAAACGAGCTCAAAAGTAAAATACAAGCTCGAATTACTCACTGGCATTCTAACGTGAGAGACATGGGAGTAATGGGCAATGGATTTCGCTTTCAAGGAATTAGTAAGTTTATTCAGGTACACACAAATAATTATATAGATTATCATACATAGCAGCATATGTGTAGAGAACCTAGGATAACCCAAAAAAGACACTTATTTCCATTGATGGGTTGGATGACGAGAACCTTCAGAACCAGAGAGGCAAAGCCAGTGATACTCTTCAGGTCACACCCCTCAAGGGAGGTTCCTTGATGTTGGTGAGGGGCTCTTGATCTAGGGAATTGGATCTGTGCTCCAGTTCCCTGAATTGAGCCTGAATACCTTCCATCCCCCCACATGCGCTGTATAATCCTATGGGTTTAGCGCTCCTGTCATTATAATAATAATAATAATCTTCAGGTCACTCACCCTCTCTCAGCTAGAGTGTTGCTGCATACTAGCGGCCCCTTCAGTTGAAGGCAGGCAAAATTCCAGAACTGGAGAATGTACAGAGACCCTTCACAATTCGTATAACCTAAGTCAAGTACCTGGGAGTATTTGAAGTCCCTCGAGTTGTACTCCTTAGAAAGTAGGCGAAAAAGATATGTCATAATCTACACCTGCAGGATTCTGGAGACAAATTGGGTCCCAACCTTCAAACCGAAGTCATTATTTACGAAGGCACGAGGTTTGGCAGACTGTACAAGATATCTAATGAAAGCAAGGGCGCGATGAGTACGCTGATAGGTAACTGGCGTAAAGGGGCCATATCTCTTCAACGCTTTCCCATCGTGAATAAGGGAAATTATCAGCAAACCCCAAGCTGTTTTAAAGAGGGAACTGGATGAGTACCTCAAGTCAGTTCCTGATTACTCTTGCTTTGATGCATACGTTTGACGTGATCGGTCAGGTCAACAACCAGAAGGCCTGGTCTGGGACCTGCCCGCGCGGATGGTGTCTTACAGGTTGATTACGTCTAAATTACCAGCGTTATTTTTTCTATTTTGAACAAGAAGTTATGAAAGTGCATGTGGGAGAGACTATAAATCGATACAGACCTAGGCCTGATCATACAATTCGTCTGTTTTTTTTTCCCGTCCGGGTTTTTGTTTGTTTAAAACGTATTTAAATATGTCCGGAATTTTACTCTGTTCATTCCCCATGTTTATTAGTTTTAAACCTAACCAAACAGCCTTAGCTTCAGAACTTCTCTCTTTGTGAACCTGTAGTTTTTGGACATGATCATGTGCTGCACAGTCAGATTATAATGGGCTTGACGCGTGCGTATATCTACAAGAACCGTTGTTCATTTTCCTGCATTTCATAACATAAAATAGGCGAAATTGCCGTGTTTCTTTGTTGTCGTTAACCTCGATGCCTCTTACAGTATTTTCACTTTCTGTGGCCCTCATTGAAGTTCTCATGCACTCTCTGCCCAACTTTCTAATTGTGGTGGTAGTGGGAGCTGAATCCAGTCGACTTCTGTACTCTACCTAACTACTATTACAAGCTTGACATCCTGGAGTGTGATCTGCATGCAGATAGGAAGTGACGCCTTCGAGTGGTAATGGGGGCGTAGGGTAGAGGTAGAACCATAAGTGGGTGCATTTGGGTACATGAAAGGGCTGTGATGGGGTGCCCGTAGGGGCCTATAGATACGACCTGTTTACCTAGCTCCGGTTGGGAATTGAACGTGCCTATTGGGTGGGCTTAGAGATTGAATGCCCGGGTAGGAAGGGAAGGGGCAAGGATCCTGGAGATGTTGGGGCACACGAGAGGTTATACCCGTGGGTGGCGGAATCTCTCAACTTTCATATTCCCATCTACTTTCTATTCTCCCTCCCCCTCCCTCTCGACGATTTCCCCCCCCCCCTTCTCGGTTGTTTCTCTTCCCCTTCCTTTCCCCTCCTTACTTTTATCTACTTTTCTACCTCTTATGTATTCCTCTGCTCCTCCTTCCCTTCACTTTTAACGTAACTGATTTCACTGGAGGTCCACATTTCCCGGGATAGTCGGCGCGCCGGGTTGGCTAAAATGGGGACAAATTTCTCTTCCCTCTCTCACCTCAGGCATTTTCGAGACCTTCCTCTTTTTCACTTGGCCGGGCTGTCGCGCGCTCACTCACCCCTCCACTTCACCCCACCCCACCTCCCTGTTTATTTTATGATGCAAAGATTCTTTGTAAACTGAATAATAAAACTGTTTTTTGCTTGTGACCTACTTTTGGGTCATTCATCACAAAGATTCGATTCCCATCATTTTTCGGGAAGAAACACTTTTTTTGGACTCGCAAGCTTAAAGACTCTTTGAAAATTTTTTGAA